AAATTTTGAAAGTTATTTATTAAAAACTTTTATTATTCAAAAAAAACTTTCCGCCATTCTTTTCGCCGGGAACTGTATGTATTGTCACTGTGAAATTTTTTAACTCAGGTTGGCCATATCCTTAAATCTTTACTTAAGATTTCTAACTGCAGTTTTTGCAGTTAAAATATTAGGATTCATTTAACTCTTAACTTTACTAAATTTACATGTTAAACTTAAAACAAATCTATCAAGTATAAAGACTTGAAAGACAAGATTATGAATAATTTAATTAAAGAATTCAGATGACAAACTCAATTACAAATAATGTATAGGGATCATATCAGACTAAATAAAGACATAAAGAGACAGAAAAATATAAATTTTGAATGATTTCTTTATTAATATTAAACTCATTTTCTAATCTATAAAAGAGTTACTTCAATTTGCAAAAGAATTCATTTACAACATAAGCAAAAAGTCTATCTATTTATACAAAATTTCTTTTATTATGGCTAACTATTTACTATGCTATAAACTAACTAATTTTATAAATAAATATAAGTAAAATAAGTATACTAAAAATAATAAAAATACGTAAAATAATAAAAATATAATATATAATAAAAATAATAATAAAAATTAGAATATTAAAATAAGTATAATACTAAATATTTCTAGACTTTGTTTAATTTGTAAAATTAGGATTATCATCAGTATTTGAAAGATCTGCAAAATTACGTAGATCTTTCGTATTTTCAGAATTCGTAGAATTCTCAGGTTTTTCAGAATTTTGAATTATAAAATCGTTATACTGCATTATCTACATGACTTCATTATTATTGATTAATTGTTCTATTGACAGTATGTATAAAAATTAGCTTTTATTTTATCTGATAAATACTTATTAATAACTTTTTAGAATAAAATATAGATAAATACTTATTTTTGTTATTGATAAACAATGTGATTATTAATAAAACAAGTATATGATTTTATTTACATTATAATCAAATATAATATTATTTTATAAGCTAATTAATCTTAATTGTAATTTTTTATTAAGTTTATTTAGATTATTAGATCATAATGATCGTTGAATGATTATCTAAATAAGAATCTAGTGCTTTATATATATTTTTTTATATAAACGATCATTCAATAATTAATATAATCTATTAGTACATAAATTATTAGTTTTAATTGAATAGACTCAAACTATTTAATTTTTTTTGTTGTTTAGTATTTTACAATTTATCTTAATAAAAATTTTAGAAAAAAATTTTTAAAATTAGGTTGATAAAAAAGAATAGCATTTATATATATATATATAAGTTATAAATCTTACATTGTTAGGTTGACTAATGTTAAAAATTTTTTTTATTCTTGATTTTCAGAACTTTTAAAATTTACTAAAGTGTTTTAATATGCTCTAAATTTTAATTTTAATCAATCAAATATAATAAATATTCACATGATTATTTCAATTTTAAAGAAATATATAGATTTTAAATGCTCATAACTTTTTATATAAGGAATTTTTTAAAAAATTAAACTAATAATTTTATAAAATATAAACTGAATTATAAAGTTATTAGTTCAGTTTTTTGAAAATACTTTTATTCAATGTGTAGATAAATTTTAAAAATATTTAATTTTTTGATTACGTAATTGTTAAGTATAATCTTTTAGCACTATATAAATTTTTATTAAATCTACTAATAAATTATATTTGATATAAAAAGTAAAAATTTATTTTTTTATAATATTTTCATTTTTACTATTTTTAATTATTATAATTCATTTTATAAAAATAATTATATAAAAAAATTTTTAATAATAATAAAATTATATTAAAAATATTTAATAATAGTAATTATAGTATATACAGTCAACTCTTATTATAACGAACTCTATGTCCTAAACCTCAACTTTGCTATAAGGCTATAGTGAAGATTTTAAGAAATTTTATTGGCCAATTCACTATAATAAGAGTATTTTTATTATATTTGTTCAAAAAATTTGCTATATCAAGAATTCGCTATATCAAGAGTTGATTGTAATCTGAATTTTTTTAAATATAAAATCTAAATAATTAAGTGAATTTAATTAATTATTTATAAAAATTATAAATTTGCTATATAATTTTATATATATATTATCCATTAAATTATAAGTTTAAAATTATTAATAAAATATTTTAAAAAATTTAAATATTTTGATATCTAATAATTATATTAAATTAATCATATTAAAATACATTTAATAATAAAATTTTGAAATTTATAAAATTAATAATTATTAATATATATCAATTTTACAAATTTTTAATTTTTAAAAAATAATATATTATATAATAATAAAATTTAGTTTATTGGATTCATTTTATTAAGACTTATTAAATGATAATATTTTTATATTTTTAAAATTAATAGATAGTAAAATATATGAATTTAAAATTTTAATTCTTTTTAATAATAATTTATCATTTATTTATCTTTAAAAAATCACTAATTAATTACATTTTTTTTTAATTTTTACTTAAAAAACATCATAAAATTTATTATAAAAGTATTAATTTTTTAATAACATATTTTAAAATATTTAAAAATAAAAATGATTTTAATTTATAAATAAAATTACTTACAAATTTGTAAACAAAACAATTAAAGAGATAATTAATTAAATTTAATAGATTAATAATTTAAACTTAATTAAATTTAAAATTTATTATCTTTTATTTAAATTTGTTAAATAATTTAAATTATAAATAAAATAAATTTAATTTAAAATTTAAATATATAAATTGAATAATATTCATTAATAATAAATATAAAATTATTCATAAAACATTTTAAAAAACTTAAAATATTGATATCTAATGATTATAAAAAGTTAAAATAAAATTTATTAGATTTGTTATATTAAAATATATCTAATAATAATATTATAAATTTTTAAAATTAATTATTATCAATATATATCAAATTTTAATTTTTTAAAAATAACTTATTATATAATAATTATTTAAAAATAAAATTTAATTTATTGAATATTTTTTAAAATTGATAGATAACAGGATATATGGGTTTAAAAAATTAAATTTTTTTTAATAATAATTTATTATATATTTTATCTTTAAAAATCACTAGTTAATTGCATTTTTTTTTAAATTTTTTACTTAGAATTGTAAGTAAAATAATTAAAAGGATAATTCTAAACTCTTAAATTAAAATATTATTTTTTATTTATTTATTTAATTTTTATTATTTAATATAACAAAAATAATGTTTAAAACAATATAAAAATAAACTGAAATTTTTAATAATAAGTAATTTTCTTATTTTTAAAAAAAAAATTTAAATATTAATAAACACTAAATATAAGTTACTTAACTTTTATTTTATAATTATCTAAAATTTATCAAATTTATATTATATTATTTATATATGTATATTTTAATATTATATTTAAGTATAATCTTATATAATTTAATATATAAATAAACTTATATCAAATTTTCTTGTTATTACAATTATTTAAAAATAATAAATCAAATCCTATTTATTATCATATTCTGGGATTTCTTGTGGTTTTCATAGCAATCCATCCCGTGTTATAAGTATTAGTTTGGTTTTAGAATTTTATTTTACAAGTGATCCCTCGTGAACTTTTAATTATGGTATATCTACATTATATACAAATTTAGTTTTTTTAATATCCGAAAATCAAAAATAAATATGAATTGCCAAAATTGCAAATACGCTTTTTTCACCCATCATCCATAACATTATATTCGGTAAAATAAACAAAGGGATTCCGGTTAACCTATCAAATGATTGATGTTTTACTACCTCAAATAAGTAAGTTTAACAACGTTATCGTACAAATCGTTAATGTGATTAGTTTGATAAGGATGAACAAATTATTCAAACGAAAAAATGTGATTGATTAATTAAAAACGATCACCTATGATCCATTTGAAATCAATGATGATGAACTTGAACAGGACAGGAATTTATGGATTTGTATAGTTCAACTTGAACAAAATGATCGTCGAAACACTCACTATATGTATTAGATGACAATCGATTTATTAAAATAAAGCAACTCATTTCGAGTTTCAAAATCTCGAATTTGTGATATATCACGCGAAGTCTTGTGATTGTACAAAATGTATTACTGCATAGAAAAAAAAAATTTTTTTAATGCATCTGATTCTGATTATGGGTGACTTTTTTGGGGTTGGCTTAATATTAAAGAAACTAATTTCAATGCAAATTGATCTGATATTGGTAACCTTTGAAAGAAATTAAAAACATGGCTTCATTATCATATGCTTTTTATTTTGAAATTCTGGTTATATAAATACAAAAATCTTTTTTATGAAAGAAAATGAAAAAAAAAATAAAGAAAAAATTTTTTTCATGCTAATCACCACCAAAAAAAATTTTCAAATTCGTGGGAAGATCGCATTGTGCATCAATGGTAACACAGTGTCAGGACGCAAAAAAAAAGTGAAATCATAGTTAATGACTCATGACAAAAATGATGTAGAGGAATAACACTTAAGAGACAAGTCTCCAGGATCACATTTAAATACTCGTTACATATGACCGAAAGCCCAACAAATGATAATATTTTTTAAATTGTTCGTTTTTGGCTGTGCTTAGGAGGCGGTAATTTGACAGCCTTGTGACTTTCCCGAGTTTAATTCTGCAACTAATATAGGCCATATAAGGTTGATCCGGTTGTTCCCACGCAAAAATCGAGGAGTATCAAACAAATAAATATTATACGCAAATTCTTAATCTATATTTATACTAGCCTAAAAAATTTTTTTTTTGGTGTTACATTTTCATGTGTTTATATATAAAGCATCTCTTTTTTTTTTTTAAGAATCATTTTTTTACAAATCATTTTTTTCGATTTATTAACCTTCTAAAATGACAACTTACAAATTCCTTAAGAACAAAAGTGTTGGCATCATTGGGTGTCCCTTTAGTGGTGGCCAGGCAAGTATTGAATACATCGAGTCAATTATTCGTTATACGAAGCTCTAATAGCAATATTCAATAAATAGCCTAAAGAAGGTGTTGATGAAGGTCCAAACAAATTGATTGATTATGGATTGATAGAGCAACTAGAAGAATTGGAATGGAACGTTGAATTTGATGGGCATCACAAACTAACTGAACTTCGTCCAGCCGAAGACCCAAACATAGGGAAGCTAAAGAAACCTCGCTACGTTTCAAGAGTAACTGAAGCCGTATCTAAGGCTGTTGAGTCACATCTTAAAAGAGGACAGTTGGCGTTAACACTTGGTGGTGATCATAGCCTCGCTTTAGGCACTGTGGTAGGAACTTTATCAGTTCACCCAGAAGCTTGTCTTATTTGGATTGATGCGCACGCAGTAAGTTTACCCTTCATTAAAATGTATTTAAATGTGTTTACCATGTTTAATAAATAAAATGCTTTACGAATTTTTAGGATATTAATACCCCAGAAACTACAGAATCTGGTAATTTGCATGGTTGTCCGGTATCATTTTTGTTAGGCATTGCAGGAAAAGTCCCAGGGTTCGAATGGGTCAAACCATTTCTCAAGCCAGATCGACTTGTTTATATTGGACTTCGAGATGTGGATCGACCAGAGAAAAAAATTTTAAAACAATTGGGAATCAAGGCATACTCGATGCATGAGGTAGATAAATATGGAATTGGTAAAGTTGTAGAAATGGCACTTGATTCAGTAAATCCAAAAAGGGATCGCCCGATTCATTTAAGTTTTGATGTTGACGGCCTTGATCCAACCGTTGCTCCGAGTACAGGTAATTTTCATTACTTTGAAAAATTATTATAAAATTCGACCTGTAGCTTATCTCTCGTTGATTAGGTACTCCTGTTCGTGGTGGTTTGACCTTTCGAGAAGGACATTATATCTGCGAAGCTATTCATAATACAGGATGTCTTGTTTCCGTTGATATCATGGTAAATATTCTAATTCTTTAAATTCTTTATCACCGTAATTCAATTCTTAATTTACGATGTATTATCGTCTCGATTATGTAGGAAGTAAATGTAAATCCCCTTCTTTTCGATGAAGCAAGCGTATTTGAAACTGTAACAATCGGATGTTCATTAATTCGATGTTGTTTAGGTAAACAAATTGTGTTTTTATTCGTTCATTTGAAAATTTTGTCACGTTTATTTTTTTTTAAAAAAAAATTCTCCATTTTTTTATAATTATAATAGGTGAAACTTTACTGTAATGGGATTTGCGTAACGTAATATTCCTTCCAATTCCTGATCTTTTTTTTTTTGTTAGTAAATGTTAAAACTTATATAGAGTAATGTTTTTTTTAAACTTCTTAAATCTAATGGATGAACTCTCATCAAATAACACCGCAACCAATTTTCAATAATGAATTACAGTTCATTCATTCATTTTTTTTTTTTTTTTTTTTTTTTTTGTAAAAAAAATAACGCAATTTTTTGTAATCTGGAAAATGATATAGAATTTGATAATCTGTCTTTACAAGTTTAGATTCTTAAAAAAAAAATGATTTTGGGATAATCTTTAAATGTAAAAGATTTTATATAATCCGAAATAATTCATCATCGAATACCCCCCTAATAAACCTTTCTTTGATTTTCACTCTAATTTGATATTTAAGCGTGAAACAAAGGATGCAATGTTCGGGAGATTTTTTATTTAAATTTATAAAAAATATATATTTAATTATTTAATAAAGTAATTTGATACGTTTATTTAAACATTCACAATCTTCTTCCCCAAGAGATACATACCCATTCATTTTTCAAATAAAATCAAAATTATCAAAATTGATAACAATTATGATGATCAAATCAAATATGCTAGAATTACTTATTTTTTTTAAAAAAAAATATATATATAATTCGGGCTTTTTCGCGGTCATGATTGCTGCGAATACTTCGTAAGAATATGGGGGGCGGTCAGTAGAAAAGGGGGAAATCCACTTTTTAGTAAAAAATTTTTTTATTGGCTCACTCTGCTGATTATGGTCATGTGAACAAAACTAGCTTAATAACTAAAATTACTCAAAATTTGTAGATTTCCCCCTTTTCTATTGACCGCCTCCCATATACGAAGGTTTAGAAATCATGATCATGCGTAATTTTCCTACTATACATGATTTTTCAATTGACAAGGGTATTAAAATCCATACCCAAAACTGTGAAGTCATATTTTAAAAGTAGGGAGTCATCAATTATTATAAATTTTTTATAGAATTATTCAAAAATTCCCTAAACAAAAGTGATGGAAAGAAGTTTAGGAAATCTATTAGTAGAAAGTCTTTTAATTTTTAGTTTTTTTGAAGCTATGATAAATTAGATAAATTAGGAATTAATATATTTTATGTAAATAGTCACATTATTTAGTTGCGCAATCGGACATGAATAGCATGTGAAAAAAAATATATACCTGTAGATTTATTTATTTGGATTTTTTTTTTTTTTGTTGAAAGTACTATTTATTTACAAAAGCAAATTTCCATCTTAAAAGGTAAACAACTCATTCAAAGATTGTCAACAACCATTTAATCTTGGCTGGGATCAAAAATTAATGCGGGTCAAAATTTGTAAATTAAATTTATTAGTCTTTGAGAATTATAAAATGGGTTGATTGCTAGGAAAATCAGGTTCCGAGAAATTTTGACTAAAATTAAATGCATTTTTGTTAAAAAATTCCCGGAACCTGATTTTCCTAGCAATCAACACAAATTTAAATTTAATTTCGTTTAAAAAGATTAACATTATTAATATTCATTTTATTTTTTAACGATGATAATACTTTTTTTTTTTTAAAAAAAAAAATAAAATAATAATAATTAGGTATATAGCTCTTCAACTTCTGTATTAAATTCAACTTCTTCTATATGAGTCTCATCGCGTAAATTCTCAACAGCGTCCAAACTAACTTGATCACAACCAAAAATATTTAAAAATTTTAAATTTTCACCACCCAAATGTCGTATTTTGATTAATGTTTCTTCATTGACAGACTTGGAATTACAAATTGATAAACTTGTTAATGATTGGCACCCTCGAATCAATTTTTCAAAAGATTCTAAAGTGAAGTTGAAGTAATCTATGTTCAAAATTTCCAAATTAGGACAATGATCCCCAATAGTCGAAATTATAATCGATGCATCATAGGAAATCATAAACCTTGATTCGATTTCTAATCTAGTTAAAGTATTTCCAATCGAACTTAATAAATAAATCATCGAATTCATTTCTCGTGGAAGGATATCTCTTTCAAAATGATGAATATTTTTGGCATAAGATCCTAAAGCATTGATCCCACTAGATAAATCATACAATTCATCATCCACTTGACTCTCGGGTCCTATAAGATAAACTCTACGTAAAGTTGTTGAAGACTTCTTCGCGATTTCAACCAAAACATCAGCCGGTAGGTAAGTATTAGAAAAATCAACGTTGTGAAATTCACAATTTGTCGCCAATGGCATTAAAAGGGTTGAAGGAGATACATTCCTAGGCCAATCAATAATCTTTCTCATATAAATCGAACGAAGTTTTGAGCAAGCTGCGATACCGTTAAAAGGTGTATTACAACTTTTAAGATTACAACTAAGAATTCGAAGTTTAACCAATGATGATGATTGAGTTTCAAGTGCTTCCAAGGTTAAATTGATCTTTTCCGCATTACGTATTTTGAGCTTTGTTAAACTTCTTTGTGTTCTTATAAAATTTTCCAATGCTTCATCCGAACATTTTTGCGCTGAAATCTTAAAGGTTTTAAGTTTATCGCACTTTCCGGTTATCCCAATCAGCCCATCAGAATCGCATTGAAAAAATCCGAAATTCAAATATTTTAAATCTACCATATGACCTCGATTTATAAGTCGATCCAATTGATCTGATGTTACAGGATATTTGTTATCCTCTGTTGATTCCGCAAAGGTACATTCTTGAATACGAGCTCTATCAACAAATAATTCGAAAATTCTCAGAAATAAATGATAAATTGACTGATCGTTTTCTTCTCTTTCCTCTTCATGATAAAAATTATACCATAATGATATACATTGATATAATGAAGGGATATGTAAATTTTTCGCAAATGCGATATAATCATATAAAGGAAGTCGTTGATTATTCCCGTTATTTGGACCTTCAATACGAATTCTCGTTTGAGGCCTTCCTTCTTCATCTTCTCTTTCCATTTCATGCGAAGAAGTGTCGACCGCATCGTAACACATCATATATGTATCGATTAATTTTCTGGCAGTGTCGTAATCCTTTGACCGATACAACCAATACTTCCATGGATCCGCATATAGAAAGCTATCCGCAATAGTTCTCCACTTTTTTTTTTTTTTTTTTTTAAAAAAAAAGAAAACCATTAAATTAATATGCGGAAATAACAATTAAGAGCAAATGTATATATATTTATTTATTTATTTAACGACTATAGTTACCTCACGATTTAATAGTGCACAATTATACAATAAACCATAACCACCTGGTTCATCAACAAAATTTTCAAAAAGAACCACTAAACAGTCATAATTTAAACGAACCATATCTTATCACAACTTCAGAAAAAGGTGATAGTAAAAACAAAAAAAATTAGATTATACTAAAAATAAAATACAAACAATGACAAAAGGTATATTATTACCAAGTGAAAAAGGGGTGGAAGGGATTGTCGTTTTTGAGAAGGGTTTAAAAAAAAAAA